GTGTATGTGTGTGTGTGTGTGTATATTCAAATATTATTGATAGCTAGTATGTAATTATAAATGTATAAACATTTAAATTAGCACTAATTGTCAGTACCATAACGATAATAAACAGTGGAATAAGTATATAAGTATTTATTTATTCTCTGATTTTTAAATTGGTTAATATTTTAAATATAACTATATTTTTAAAATTACAAAAGCTTGTTTATTTGTTTATTATGCTAGGTTTTTATAGTGTCTTCTGAGGTTTTTTTTAATGTTCTTGCTGGGTTCGATGCATGTAATTTCTGCAATATAATCTACTGTGATGTTTTGAATGAAAAAATAAAGAAAACTGAAGTTACAAATATGTATATATATATTGTTATACGTGTTAAAAAAGGAAATATTTAAAAATAATTAATTTATTATGCAAAGATCAAAATTGTATTTTTTTTAATTCAAAATTTTACTTAAATAATAGTTTTAATATTAATAATCATTTTCAACGGTAGTTTTGAAAAATTATTGGAAAATGATTTACATAAGATATGGATCCTTTCATTTATTTTTTAATAAATAAAATTGTGTAATCATTCACCTCAGGTCAACTGAAATTCGTCACTTAAACAAAAACAGAAGTGTGCATAATCATCATCGGTGTCTGACCTTGTACCGCAGCTCGAGGCAATTGAGAGAGTCTGGCGCGTGCGGATGGAAGATTTCTGGAAGGTATCTCAGAGCAAACGTGAAGTGAGCCGCCAGTTCACTGTCTCCGTGAACACTGTACTGAAGAGCCTTATTGAGGATAGAGTTCAACACCAGCGGCGTCAGCAGCTCACCGGGGGTCTGTCCACTGCCCAGCTGAACACACACACACACACACACACACACACACACACACACACACACACACACACACACACACACACACACACACACACACACACACACACACACACACACACACGTTTCTTTCTTCTGTTGACCTCTGTTGATATTATTTAGACATTATTTAAACTATGAAATGGTTACTGGTTTTCAACATTCCTCAAAATATCTTCTTTTGCGTTCAAATGAGAAATAAAGAGTGAGAGATTTTTGTTTTTGGGGTGAACCATGCATTTAAAGTCAGTGAACTTACGGTTGCTGAGTCTTATTTCAGTATGTTGATGTGCCTGTAACTGAAACTGAATATTAAGTAGGGGGTGGGACTTTCTGTTTGCACAAACTAACGGATGCTGAAGCATTAAACTGGCATCAATAGGGAAGGACCACCACTGCAAATGTGGTAGCAAATGCTCAGACTTTGATTGAAGATTACCTAAACAAACAAGCTTTTTTCCGTTGGGTTAACTTTGAATGTAATAATTAAAAGTGGCACTGTCGCCTCACAGCAAGAAGGTCGCTGGTTCAAGCCTTGGCTGTGTCAGTTGGCATTTCTGTGTGGAGTTTGCATGTTCTCCCCGTATTCACGTGGGTTTCCTCTGGTTTCCCCCACAGTCCAAACACATGCACTATAGGTGAAGTGGGTGAACTAAATTGACTGCAGTGTATACGTGTGTGAATGAGTGTGTATGGATGTTTCCCAGTACTAGGTTGCAAATGGAAGGGTATACACTGCGTAAAACATATGCTGGAATAGTTGGCGGTTCATTACGCGGTGGCGACCTCTGATAAATCAGAGACTAAGCCGAAGGATTGAATGAATGAATGAATGTTCAGACCTTTTCAAAGAGCTGATCGCTGAGAGAAAGAGCAAACTCCCCGTCCTCCATCAGCAGGAAGTGCCGGAGAGTCTGGAAATGCTTCTCCACAGCCAACTCCACGAAGAAATAATCCACCACAGCCTTATTGACCATAGACACGCTGAGAAAGAGAGGCAAGACATTTAAATTCATGCAAAATATTACAATATTTCAACAAAATTGTATACATTTTCTCTCTCTTGATTTGTATTTTATTTTATATTTTATCTTTAATGTATACATTTGGGTGTGCAAATTTTTGGAACATTATTGTACATTATTTTGTTAGATTGGATCCAGATTTGGCTTCAGTATTGACCTAATGTATATGCAGAAATAGAATATTGTAACGCTTCCTTTAGAAAACATTCATTTAAATGAGAGATTTCTGGTGTATGTTGAGCACTTTACATTGTTTTGTTTTATTTCAACATTGAGCCAAGTTAACAAAATTGGTTAAAAAAAATTTCAAATTAAAAGTATCACCACTTAAAAATAACTACACAAACAACAATGCATCCAACAGTATTTCATTGATCGTTTTCAACCCAATAACTTCCTTGAAACAATCAGTAGAAGCAGAAACAAGGCTTATATTTGATGAGCTGTGCGTGTGTGTGTGTGTGTGTGTGTGTGTGTCTTACTGTGTAATGAGTGGTGTGGTGACGGAGTGTTTCATTAGCACCGGCAGCGGCATCATCTCACTCTGCTGTACTGCGGTGGCATCAGTGGCGTGATGAAGAGACGGTTCCATGGACAGACCATTCGGGCCCCGAGTGACCTGAAGCAGAGGCTCAGAGTCTGGAGCTGCAGCTACAAAACAAACACACACACACACACACAGCTTAGTTTAACATACACCGCACAAAATACTCTTCAAAGGACCAAGACAAATAGTAGATCAAAAGATATTTGAAAGAAGAAAGTTGAAAAACGGGTAACCATTGACTTCCATAGTTAAAAAAAGAAAAAGAAATAACAGTTACTATGGAAGATAAATATTGCCACCCACCCAACCCCCCGGTCTTCAGTTTCCGCGCAACATAAAATTGATCACAAAAGAAGATATTTTGAAGAAAGCTGAGAAAAAAAAAGGGGTAACCATTGACTTTCATAGGAAAAAAAAATAAATAGGATAAAACTATGGAAGTCAATGGTTACCTGTTTTTTTCAGCTTTCTTTAAAATATCTTCTTTTGTGATTAACAAACGTTTGTCTGCCATAGTAAAAAGTAAAAAAGATATTATGGAAGACACGTTTGTTGATCACAAAAGAAGATATTTTATAGAAAGTTGAAAAACAGGTAACCACTGACTTTCATAGTAAAAAAAAAAAAAAACAGATACCATGAAAGTCAATGGTTACAGGTTTCCAACATTTTTCAAAATTTCTTCTTTTGTGTTCAGCTAAAAAAAGAAAATCATAAAGGTTTGAAACAAGTAAAGGGGAGTAAGTGATGACAATTTTCATTTTTGGCCCCTTTAAGGAAAAAAGCATAACATTATTTCCAAATGAAAAAAATGTATGAATAAATCCAGAAATTGACAATTTAACATTTTCATTTGTTGTAATTAAAAATCACAAATATTCATTTCTTAACTCTTGTTAGAACTGCAGTTGTGTGTCTAACGTCTGGAATCATAGCATTTTTTTTATTAAGTTGTAAATTAAATGCTCTAAATGACAATATTTCATCTCACATTGAGAGTTAGTAGTTCACAGACTTCAACAAAAAACTCCTGTTTACTCAAACACATAACTATAAATCAAAAGTCAGATATACTGGTCTGGTACTCACTCATCAGGCTGTATGAGTCCTGGTAGTGCTCCACCTGATACTGGCAGGCCAGGCTGAGCAGATAGTGGTCTTCTGGACTCTCACGAGGAGACAAACCCAAGCCCAGAGCCCATGCAGCCAGACCCTCATCCAGACTGAAGAGATCAGTAGGGGGCGCTGTGGCACAACAAAACAAACAGCATTACAAATGTTTTCACAGACATATTAACAAAAGGATATATATTACACTTTCAGTGTGCAAAATGTAAAACCATGTAAAACATTTCATTTGAGGAGTTTTTGCATCTGAAGTCAATGTTTTCCCAGCTTTTTTAAAAAACATTTTCTTTTTACCTTTATTAATGCAAATTATGCAGACTATTTTTTTATTATTTGCATTCTTTCACTTTTAAGTAATATATATTTCTATTTTTCTTTCTCCTTTAGTTATATTTACATTATTTTAATATTTCTAATTTTAATAACTGAAGGTGTCTGAAAGCATTGTAAGAATGTTTGCTGAATGTCGTGGTGTTCTCACCATGGGTGTCGATATCTGCTGGGTTTTCTGTGTCTTGTGATGCTTTTTCAGAATTGGCTGGTTGTTGGTCACCATACAAACTCCCTGGCACCATCCCGCCAACCACACATCCCATGCCCAGCGCTGAGTCTGATGAATGCCCGTAGGCACTGCTGTAAAGAGAGCTGGGTCGAGTGCTCTCAATCCCACTGACCACACACCCAATTCCCAAGCTGGACTGAGAGGAATGTCCATATTCACTGCCGGGTATTGGAGATGGCTGTGGGTTCACGCCTGACACAACACATCCTGCTGTTAGTGTGGAGTCAGACGCATGCCCAAAAGCACTGCCAGGCAAAAGAGTGGGCATATGGGTGGCATTGGGTATTACGCAACCCATTTTAAGGGTGCTGTCAGAAGAGTGACCGTATTTACTCCAACGTGGACGAGAGGAGGCGACATCTGATACAAACTCACCCACCCTTATATGGGCGTCAGAGGCGTGGCCATGAATATTAGCAGTAGGAGTGGTTGTGGTTACCTCAGAAACGTGTTCACCAACCCTTATATGGGCGTCAGAGGCGTGACCATGGATGTTAGCAGTAGGAATATGAGTGGTCACCTCAGAAACGTGTTCGCCAACCCTAATATGGGCGTCAGAGGCGTGGCCATGGATGTTAGCAGTAGGAATATGAGTGGTCACCTCAGAAACGTGTTCGCCAAGCCTAATATGGGCGTCAGAGGCGTGGCCATGGATGTTAGCAGTAGGAATATGCGTGGCTACCTCAGAAACGTGTTCGCCAACCCTAATATGGGCGTCAGAGGCGTGGCCATGGATGTTAGCAGTAGGAATATGAGTGGTCACCTCAGAAACGTGTTCGCCAACCCTTATATGGGCGTCAGAGGCGTGGCCATGGATGTTAGCAGTGGGAACATGAGTGGTCACCTCAGAAACGTGTTCGCCAACCCTTATATGGGCATCAGAGGCGTGGCCATGGATGTTAGCAGTAGGAATATGAGTGGTTACTTCAGAAACATGTTCGCCAACCCTTATATGGGCGTCAGAGGCGTGGCCATGAATGTTAGCAGTAGGAATGGGAGTTGTTACCTCAGAAATGTGTTCACCAACCCTTTTATGGGCGTCAGAGGCGTGGCCATGAATATTAGGGGTGGGGATGGAAGTCGTCACTTCAGAAATGTTTTGTCCAACCCTTGTATGGGTGTCAGAGGCATGGCCATGGATATTAGGGGTTGGAAGAGAAGTGGTTACCTCAGAAACGTGTTCGCCAAGTCTAATATAGGCGTCAGAGATGTGGCCATGTATATCAGAAGTAAATAGAGGAGTGGCTACCTCTGAAACATGTTCACCAACCCTTATATTGGCATCAGATGCGTGGCTATGAACATCAGAGGAGGACAAAGACGCAATCAGTGCCGGATCCTGATCGGCGGTGTTATTCCTCATAAGAGTATCAGACTGTGACTCATGGAAGCTGATGAGAGGAGACACAGATTGTTCTTGCTCTGGCTGAGAACAGTGAGAGGTCTGGCTGACACTCTCGCAGGACTTGGCTTCATCTGCTGGCTCCTGGGTGGCTTGCTTTGGCTCTGAACCTGCGCTGGCCGCCGAGGGCTCTGTTCCCGTCGCTTGTTTTTCTGTACACCGGCTCTCGCTCTCTGCTTCACATGTGCTCTCTTGAGTGGTCTGGGTTGAAGTGTTTGACTCGGAGTGAACCGGGCCCATGATCCGCCCCGAGGCAGTGGAGTCTCCCAGCTGAACGAAGCTCTGTGAAGGGTGTCCATGAACACTAGCTTTCGGTTGACCTACCAGCCCCTCTGGAATGAACTGACCTAACGGAAAGCTGGAATTGGATGCCTGTCCAAATTCACTAGGCAATGGGAAGGACTCCAAGACTTCCGAAACATGTTCTCCGAGCTGTATGTGGGAAGCTGATGGATGTGGCACACTTGGGTTGGGTGCCTGAGAAATCGGCAACAGGTCGGATCCAATATCATGGAGTGCCTGGGTCACGGCACCACTTTTAGGGCTGTGTGGAGGCTTGGGGAGGAAGTCAGCAGTGTCGATTCCTTCTGATATTACAGCTTGACTTATTGCAGGAGGGCAGGGAGAAGCAGAGGATTCTGGCACTGGAGGATGTCCAGTTTGTGGTTCACTTAGATTCTGCTGTTCAGTGAGCTGTGGTCAAAAAAAAATTATCAGTTTAGGTTGATTTAATGACATTATAGGTGTGTATATTTAAAAAAAAAAAACAGCATACTAGTTGTTTAGGCTGGTGAATGTGAGGTGTTTCCAGAAGAGGGTCGTCCTTTCCCAAACTAAACTTCATTTCCAGAAGAGCCTGAACATAAATTATTTCATAGACTTCAAAATGGTAAATCAAACTTAAATCCTTTGCTAACACATGATTACTAACAGAAATATTAACTGGCAAACATTTGAAAATTTTAATTATAAATATATACAAACTAATATTTGATAAAACACATAATAACTACACAAACGCATGCGATTAATTTTAAATAATTAACGCGTTAAAAAAATTTACGTAATTAACGCAGTGGCAGTTTTTTTTTACTTCCTGTTGTGGTGGACGTGTGTTCAACATGCAAAAAATGTGGATAAGACCAAGGAAGCACTTTTTAAAAGGCAAGTTTCAGTATAAAACAATTAGTTGCATCACCAGGCTCTCCAGAGTTTCATGCAATTTCGAGTGTTTCAATTTTAACTTTCAACTTCTGTTGTAAGTTGATACCGCATGGCGAACAGAAAGAAAATCCTCCGCATTTCGTGACTCGGTGTTCCTTTAAGGTAAGGTTCCTTTTAAGGCTACACGGTAGAATTTTAATAAGAGTATAATCTTAATCATATTAAAATCGGAGTATTGGTGTCTTATGTAAATGTACTCAGAACGTCTCTAGTGAAGTCGCGAGCTGTCAAAGACAGGGCATTACTCTGCCTTTCAGCATGAGCCCTCCAAGTTTAGCGTGTTTCCTCATTAAACGCAATGAAAGCGTATGCTTCGCGTTGTTGTGTCAGAATCCTTGTGAAATACATTAATACTTTAGGACGCTTAGTTTAAGCAAATTTGATGAACGTGATCATGCGTGTGTTGAATCAGAGGGGAGCCGCTCCAGTATGGAAGGCCGTTGGGGCCAAAATGTCTGCAGCGCGTTGTGTGTGTGTGTCTGTGTGTGTGTCAGGCCCGTTGTGTCAGTATTTAACGACTGGTTTGCGAGAAATTATCAATCATTTGCGGGCATTTGGGAGTCTCTGTGCACTTGCGGGATACTCCTAGTCTTAGCAACTGGATGAATGTAAAGGAGGATTAAACAAAATTGTTTCTACTCTATAACTAATGTTCTCAACTCACAGCAATAAAACTTTACAATGAGTGGAACAGTTTGTTTTCAATAGTTTATTAATATAATTTACATTTTCCATATCTGCAATTCCAGTATTTTGGCATTTTTTTGCAGTCCACTTAGAATCCAACATGTAAATCACTGTTTTCTTTATTGGCATTGATTGTTTTGAAATTTAAATGTCATTAACATGCCTGTGTTTTAATTTCTGTAATAAATATGGCTGTCAAGCCAGGATATTGATGATTTATTGTGGGTATGTTGTTTACATGAAGAAATCTGTGGTACAAGTTAAACAAAAATTCTATTAAACAATTATATTTTGAATTTAAATTTTTTTTTTGTCTTGCGTTTACATTAATTTTACATTTAAATAGGCAAAATTACAAGTTTCAGTATTTTAAATGTGATTAATCACGATTAATTTTTTTAAAAAGGTGCAATTAATTAATTAAACTTTTTAAATCGATTGTCAGCACTAATATATATATATATATATATATATATATATATATATATATATATATATAATATTATGCATGTATGTATGTATATACATGTATATCATAGAATCGCTCGATGATCACATTTTATAACTCGATCTGTACTCGCTAATTTGGCCAATCTCACGAACCGATCACAATTGTTTGTTTATGAGTATTGCTGCAACAATGAATTGATTAAAATCGATTACTAAAAGCGCTGGCAACAAACTTCATAATCGTTCTGTTGTGTCCCGTGATGCAGAGCTGTTTGATTATTGAGTTTGGTGCCTCATAGACAGGACGGAGAAAAAAAACAAGCAGAAGTAACGTTAGAGTAAAGATACATGGCGAAGGCAGAGAAATCTATGTAAATTACTACAGAATCTAATCTACTACAGAAGCGTCCTAATCCTACTTTTGTTCCGTTTTAAAGTAAGGCACGTAATATCCCTGCTGCTGGTGTTTTTACTTGTTATGCAGCTTGACATGAAAAATTCAAACTGAGCTTTAGTGCGTTGGCTGGCGCTGAGCCAGAGAAAGACGTGTCATATGATCACAAATATACAGTGTTTTAACCACCCAATGCTTATTTTATGTTTTAGACATGTAAATACACACAAGTACAAGTTAAACAATACATTCAGAGTTTGTAAAACACACAAGAAAGTCTATGGAAGTTTAATAATCCATTCAAACATAATTTGCCGATGTGTATTAGTCATATCAGATACACATAGTGAAAGTAACAATAAAGTTCAAATTTATTCTTCTCCCAGCTGGCCAGCCACTCGCTTGCATGCATTTTGGAAGTAACTGGTGAATTTACATGCTGAATCTTGCGTATTCTGCTTTCATGAATGAGGCATGCGAGTAAACATGGCGACGCTTATCTTACGCTATAGATCACGATCATTTATTTGTCTTTTAAACAACAAAAAACACCCACTTTTAGTTTTCTTATTAAAACGGCAAAGCATAATAAAAGAAATTCATCTGTTATACATCGCTATTGTGGCTGCAGTGCGTCACGTGACAAACATGACGCGTTGCCGTGAATCACAATCAACTTCACCACCACCAGTTTCCTTTTAGTAAAGAAGTAATGGATTTATATGTGCGCATTTTTACTTCTAATGCATCAAATATGCATTCCAAACTTCCTTGAGCAATGTTGAATTCTTCCATTATTTGCAATGTGTCCAAAAAGGAATTGGTACTCAGTATCGGCTGCAAAAATCTTGATCGGAGCATCCCTAATATATGGAAAATGGTTGTAAAATACCAATACACTGTAAAATAATACACTGCAAAACTTGAGGAAAAGACTAAATAAATCAATAATATCTATTACTAATATAAGAAAAGAATCATTCCAGACTCTATGATAAAACTACAATAAGTGTGATATCGTACCTGTATGTTGTGCTGCTCTTTCTGCAGGAAACTGACTCTCTGCTCGTCAAGTTTCATCCTCTGCACTTTCCACATTGCTCTGAGCTCTCGTCTCGCAGCCGCTTCTGACAACTGACTGTACTGAGCGATCAGATCCATCCTGAACCACACACAAAACTGAATTTAATTAGAAATTCTCTTGATACTAAACTGATTTACATGCGCAAAAGTGCAAAAAATCCTATTAATTCTCTTCACAGTGAAAAAAACAAATGCAAATTAGAATAGAAAACAAAAGATTAATACAAATGAACCCTGCTCTCTTTATAAAATTGAAAACAGTTTTACATTTAATTGTTATATTATTCAAGCTGTATACGCCATCTAAATTTCAATTAAGAATGTTTAAACATGAGTCAAAAATACTTTTACATAACATAAAGCTTTAAATGCATCAAAATCAGCTCAGTATTGAGCTCACCCTCCCAGGATGCATTGCAAATGACATTCAAGTTCTACATATTCGTACGCTTTAATACTGCGAACTACTTTTCATCAATGGTTTCACTTTTTTTTCAACTGATAGTCAATTTTCTTCTGGCTTTGTCTACAGCATATTCCTTTGTATTCCAGCATATGTTTTAAGCAGCGGATGCCCTTCTAGCTGCAGCCCAGCACTGGGAAACACCCCCACACACTTACATACTACGAGCAATTTAGTTTATTTCCTTCACCTATAATGCATGTGTTTGAGTTGGGGGGGAAACCGGAGCACCCGGAGAAAACCCACACCAACATGGGGAGAACATGCAAACTTCACACAGAAATGCCAACCGGCCTAGCTAGGACTCGAACCAGCAACTTCCTAGCTGTGAGGCATAGTCATGTAATTCGCAATTTAAAAAGATTCATTCAGAATCTTGTACCTTTGCATTTTTATTCTTAAATGTTTGCTCCGAATCTGCTGTTGTAATGTTATGATTGATTTGAAAGCAGCTCGTTTTGGTTGATGGCCTTCAAAATGCTTTACTGAGTGATTCCTGCGGTGAACACGAATGTGAAATAAACGTCCTGTGGGCGCTCACTGCTGCGCTCAATAGCCTCAGTGCTAATCTGTCAGCTTTTTTAGCGTTACAGTATGCCGCCCACCGTGCCTGGCGCTCCAGCTGCTCCTCGAGGGCCTGCAGCCTCTGCTCTCGGTCTCGGAGTTCTCGTGCGTAACTGAAATCATCTTCCTGCTCCTTCCGTCTTGCGGTGCTACGCCACTGAAAAACACATCCAAATGAGAAATTAAACAGGGTATTGCAGGTTTCTAAAACCTATATTTAAGACCTACACTATCTGACAAAAGTCTTGTTGTCAATCCCAGTTGTGAGAGCAACATATAACTTGATCATTTGGAAAAGTAATCGAAGGTTTTGCAAATGAATCATCTGTTGAACTACATGCCAATCATCACAAATCCTGAGGAAGACATATCGGAACCCCTTATGGATCCAAGATTTTCACAAAAATCAGTCAAGTTTGGTGAAGGAAAAATCATGGTTTAGCGTTAAATTCAGTGGGGGGGTGAGAGATCTGCAGAGTGGATGGCAAAATCAACAGTACATTTACTCATACTTCAGGCTCCACATCAAAGTGCTACAGAATTGGCCAGCACAGTCACCAGACATAAACATTATTGAGCATGTCTGGGGTAAGATGAAGGAGGAGGCATTGAAGATGAATCTAAAGGATCTTGATGAACTCTGGGAGTCCTACAGGAACGCTTTCTTTGCCAGGCTTTTGTCAGAGTGTATATTTAAGACTTTTTAATACCACACAGAATGAGATTAATATTGTAGTTCAGAAAAAAAACACGCAACACAACTAAAGAACATCTTTAACACTGTTAATTATACATATAAAGTATGAAAACCCTCAACACATTATTATTAAAAAATATGATAAAATTTTTCTATTAGTTCCACCAAACTGCATTAACTCTAACAAAAAATAATTTTCCGATGTCAATAAAAAAAGGCCTATTATTATTCTATATATAGCCTAAACATTATTCCACTAAAGATTATAAATGGACTTCGAGAAATTTGTTATAGCTGGTTAAACTGAATGCAGTGATTGAGTAGAACAAATTTGCTGAAATAATGAAAGAAAAACTTGTAAAGATACTCAGAAAAAGAAAAAAAAAATTGTGTGAGGCTGATAACAGCAGCCAGAAGAGAAAATTTACTGTCCCACCCAAATGGTGCTGAATTAAAAATACCTAGCACAAGCGGTAATTAGTTTTTTATGCAAAGATTATAAAAGATTATTTAAAGATTGTATGCTTATACAGCAGGGAAAATAAGTATTAAACACATGTTTTTTTTATTGAATTGTGTGTAATAACAATGGAATGACACAAGAAGTACTGAACTACTGAAACATATTTAATACTTTATATAAAAGTTTTTTTTATGAGGGCAGCTTGAAGACGCCTCTCATATAGAGAACGAAGTCGCATACATTGCTCAGGTGCGAGTTTCTATTGGATTCAAGTCAGGTGACTGGCCATTCTACAACTTGATTTTCTTTCTCTGAAAGCATTTGAGATTCATTGGCTGTGTTTTGGATCATTGTCTTGCTGGAATGTCCACTCTGGTTTCATCTTCATTATCCTGATTATGTGGATGGATGTTGGACTGAAGCAGCTGATATTCACTTACACTGATGAAGGGCAGACGGTTGCTGAATAACTACTAACTGAGAGATTTCAGCTGCTGTCTGGGCTTTCACTGCCTTTCTACACCTCCCTTTCTTTATGTGTTCAACACTTTTTTCTCTTCGTAGTTTCATTATATTACGCATAACTTCATTTGTAAACCAATAAGATTAGTTTTCTTTGCATATACAGATTTCTGTGATTGTTACCAACATCTGGTGAAAATTTCAAGTCTACAACACCTTTAGAAATTAGTTTTTTGAGAAAAATGGTGATGTGTTCAATATTCCTTTTCCAATTGCAAATACATATAAATATGCATACTTTTTAATATTAAAAATATTAAAAACATTCAAGGATTTAAGATGCCGATTGCCATTAAACACGTCATAACAGGCTTGTGAAAAGGGTCCATTAAGGCCTTATTTTTATTATACTATGAAATTTAAAGATTCGCGGACACCCAGTTAAATATGCTGAGGGTTGGTTTTTGGGACTGGAAATAATTAATTAATGCGCTCCTCTCTCACCTCCTGGTCGAGCTCCAGCTGCTGCTTCATCTCTTTGAATCGCTCCCTTTTCTGGGCCTCCTCTGCCAGACGCTGCGACACCTGGCGGCCTGCAGGGGGCGAGAGAGAGAACAGCGGGACGTCAGCGCTAATATTCATTCATTTGTCTCTGTGGGGAGCAGCAGCCGCACGCTGGATGCCCTGATGATTAATACTTGACCTCCACAAGGAGAACAGTTGTGTCCCCTCCTCATGTGGGGAGAAAAAAAAAACATGTTTTACTGTACAGTGTTGTTTTTAGGATTACTGATTTAATAGTACAATTTTATATAATAGTTTATATATACATATATATTTTTCTTAATAATTATTTCCCAAATTATGTTTAACAGAGCAAGACATTTTTTATAGTATGTCTGATAATATTTTTTCTTCTGGAGAAAGTCTTTCTTTTATTTCGGCTAGAATAAAAGCAGTTTTGAATAAAAAAAAATTATTTTAAGGTCAAAATTATTAGCCCCCTTAAGCTACTGTTTTGATTGTCTACAGGACAAACCATCGTTATACAACTTGGCTAATTAGGCCTATTGGGGTAGTTAGGCAAGTCATCATAATGACTTGCCTAATTACTCCAGTTTGCCCAATTAACCTAATTAAGCCTTTAATAATCACTTTAAGCTGAATACTAGTATCCTGAAAAATGTCTAGCAAATGTAGTAAAATATGTCTTCAAGGCAAAGATAAAAGTAAACAGTTATTATAAATTAGTTATTATAAATTAAGGGCGTCACTGGGTAGCACGATCGCCTCACATCAAGAAGGTCGCTGGCTCGAGCCTGGGTTTCCTCCGGGTGCTCCGGTTTCCCCCACCAGTCCAAAGACATGTGGTATAGTTGAACTGGGTAAGCTAAATTGTCCGTAGTGTATGTGTGTGAATGAGTGTGAATAGATGTTTCCCAGTGATGGGTTGCGGCTGGAAGGGCATCTGCTGTGTAAAACATATGCTGGATAAGTTGGCGGTTCATTCCACTGTGGCGACCCCAGATTAATAAAGGGATTAAGCCAAAAAGGAAATGAATGAATGAAATTTAAACTATTAGGTTTAGAAATTTGTTGAAATTGGGGAAAAATATACGGGGGCAATTAATTCTGACTTTAATTGTCTAGAAAAAAAATAGTGGTGGGTCGTTATAGTGCTTTCATGTAAGAGTTTCCTGTAGTTTTGGGTGACTAACTGCAGTTCGGCAGTTCCACTTTCACTTATGAACATTTCATTCATGCCCCCGTGACAAACTGGGGTGTTAGACGCAAATAAGTATTAAGAACTGGTGAGAGTGTTATGAAATTTAATAACGCACACCAAATGGAAAGAAAAAAACTTCTGCATTTTGCGATGTGTGTGTGGTCCTTTACTGACAGCTGCGTGTGTGGATCTTGTCGGAAAAATAGGCGAAAAGTCCAATATGACGGTTATAGTTTGATTGCTGTGTTTACATCAGTAATGCCACTAATATCTGCATACTCCACATGTCTATTCATGTAATATTTGCATACTCTAACATGTCATGTTTAGTTCAGTTATGACTGTAGTCGGATTGAGGTGATCAAAAAAAAAAAAAAAAAAATCACTGTTTAAAAAAAAAATCACTGTTTGGAGCTTATGTAGGCCTACAGTTCAAAATTCATGTTTAACTGAATAAACAGTTAGTAAACACAAGTACATCTTATTGAACATCATTTATTTTAATCAACAATTATCATAGTAGAACAGTTTGGAAACAGGAGATGAGCCCCTGGTCTTATGCGCCACCTGGCTTGAGAAACTCGTTCTCAAAGACTTACTTTCAGTCATTATTTAAGGATTGTATTACATATATTACATTGGGTAGAATATTTCATATTCTGAATGCCTTTGGCAGAATTCAAATGAGCCATTTTACTCTAGATTAATTCCAAGATTACAGTGAGATTAATCTAAAAAAAAAATATCTATGCCCAGAAGAAAAAAAAAAAAAAACACTTTACAATAGGGCTGCATGATATTGTAAAAATCGGACATTGCGATAATTAGTTTTTCTGCAATATATACTGCAATATGAATTTGATTTCATCAGAGGATTTGAACAGCTGTAATTGGAAAGACCTTTACCATTGCACACTTTGTAACTCTTTTAGGTTTAAGAGTTACTTTAACACTCATGTTTATTTTATTATAAAGATCAGATATTTTATGCAAACATTTTTTGTTTTTGACTACTAAAACTATTTGCCTTATTAATGTTAATAAATTAAAACAAGGTGGTTAAATAAAAAAATGGAGTGTTAAATATTCAATAATTATTGGTATCGAATGATATGAAACATGATCTAGTGATCATCTTTTTTAGCAATATCGCCCAGCCCTAATACATAATATACAATACAATATTTAAGCACATTTTATTTTGATTAGTTTTAGTTATTTCAGCACTAGATTATATTTTTGCTTTATAATTTGTCTTTTAAATGATCAAATATAATTAATAAAATATTTATAAAATATATCATTCTTATTTTAATACATTAATAAAAACAATGTCATCCATGAATATAACATTAAAAATTAAATCAACATCAAATGTATAATCCCATTCCATGAAAAATAAAAATTGCACATTTTGATTTCATGATGACATTAACATCAGCCAGTTATATTTAAAAGCAGACAGTATAAGCAGCAAATCGGTTTCTTACCGAATGCCTCACTCCAGCAGCAGGCCTGTAGGGTGTCCCATTTCTCATTTCACAATTCAGAAGGGTGCAATTTGGGACAGAGCCTATGATGAAAGTCAAGTCTGGCTACGCAAGACTAATTTGGCCCAGACAGAAGCTGCTAACAGCATCAGGTGTGTGTGTGTGTGTGTGTGTGTGTGTGTGTGTGTGTGTGTGTGTGTGTGTGTGTGGGTTTGAGGGGACAGATTTCTGACCTCTGATTCTCTCCAGGGTTTTGGCCGCTGACTCTCTGACCTGGTTAATGAGCTCCTGTCGGGCCTGTTCAGTCCGCGTGGCCTGACAAAAAATAAAATACTAGTTAGAGAGAGAAAGAATAAAAATGAATGAAGACGGACTTGAGCGTGAAACAATAAAGCAGATTTTTAACCCAGGTCACGGTGTCCTGATGAAACTGGGTTAATGGACCGGCTTTTAAAATCTCATCTGTTGCCATGCCAACAGTACCAGCTTTGATGCAGTACTGGCTCTCTGATTGGAGCGAACGTTTCATAGACATAACACACTTAACCTGGATTAGCCATTTTGATATAAGCATACTGAGCAAATTAAAACTACAAATTGCAAATTAGTAAGGACGTTGACTCAGTGGTTAACAGTCACCTCACAGCAAAAAGGTTGCTGGTTCGAGCCTCGGCTAAGTCAGTTGGCATTTCTGTGCTAAGTTTGAATGTTCTCCCCGTGTTGGTGTGGGTTTCCTTCGGGCGCTCCGGTTTCCCCCAGAGTTCAAAGACATGCGCTGTAGGTGAATTGGAAAAACTAAATTGATTGTAGTGTATGAGCGTGTGTGTGTGTGTGTGAGTGAATGAGTGTGTATGGGTGTTTCCCAATACTGGGTTGCAGCTGGAAGAGCATCCGCTGCATAAAATATATGCTGGAATAATTGGTGGTTCATTGCACCTGGTAACCCCTGATGAATAAGAGACTAAGTTGAAGGAAAATGAATGAATGAAATAAAGAAGGACATAAATTGTATAAATACTCCCATATATGGCAAAAACACATTTCAGGCAAGTTAAAAAAAATAATATTTCATAAGACTACTGAAAACTTCTAATGAAAACTTCTTATTCTGAATCCCAAAATCAGCTCTTTGATAACACTCATGTTTCCTTTGATTAATATGGCTATGATGATGTATTCAACCCTACGAACATCCATCGTCGTGAAGAGGAAAAAATGTCAAGCGTATAACATCAGCTAATGGAAAGCCACTCATGTTGCAATAGTTATGCGCAAATATGTAATGGAAACCAATCAAAAAACAGATTCATTCAGAAAGAAAACAACACAGTGTTGCTTTGCGATGCTCGAATGTTTGTTTATTAGCAGTGTTTCTCTACAATGTTCCAAGAGGACCATTAACACTGCATGTTTTGGATGTCTACTTTGTCTGTCACACCCATTACAGGCCTTTCATTCATTCATTCATTCGTTCGTTTATTCGTTCATTAATTCATTCGTTCGTTCGTTTTGGCTTAGTCCCTCTGTTAATCAGGGGTCTCCACAGCGGGATGAACCACCAACTTATCCAGCATAGGTTTTACACAGCGGATGACTTTCCACCCGCAACCCAACACTGGAAAACACTATACACTTCTGCATTTACACACATACACTATGCCCAATGTTGCTTCTTCAATTCAACTACAGAGCATGAACTTGTGGTGAAAACAGGAGCACCTAAAGGAAACCCGCGCCAACACAGGGAGAAGATGCAAACTCCTCCAGGAACGGGGTTGAGAAACACTATATTAAAGCAACACTCCACTTTTTTGTTGTTGGAAATGCTCATTTTACAAATCTCTTATGGTTAAAAGGTTGACGAACCATTTTTGAATTAATTTCATGTTCCGGCAGGGTCACTTAGCTTAGCATAAATAATTGAATCAAATTAGACCATTAGCATTTCACTCAGAAAAAAAACATTCAAAATAAAGTAAAAAAAAAATATATTTTCCTTTTTAAATCTTCTGTAGTCGTTTAAAACAGATGAATAAATTAAACTTTAGTATTTTCTAGGCCAATATTTATAGGAACTACACTCTCACTGCGGTCGGTCTTATTACATGACATAACTACAACACTCGAATTTGGCGACGCAGTGGCGCAGTAAGTAGTGCTGTCGCCTCACAACATGAAAGTGTCTGGTTTGAGCTTTGGCTGGGTCAGTTGGCGTTTCTGTGTGGAGTTTGCATGTTCTCCCAGTGTTCTCTTGGGTTTCATTCGGGTGATCTGGTTTACCCCTCAGTCCAAAGACATGCGGTACAGGTGAATTGAGTTGGCTAAATTGTCCGTAGTGTATGAGTGTGTATCAATGTTTCCCAGAGATGGGTTGTGGCTGGAAGGGCATCCGCTGCGTAAAAACATATGCTGGATAAGTTGGCGGTTCACTCCACTGTGGTGACCCCAGATTAATAAAGGAACTAAGCTGAAAAGAAAATGAATGAATGAACGAACTTGAACAGGCTCCGTCTAACTGTCTTATAATTAATTTCACTACACAGTCAGTCTTTTTGCCCTTTCAATATGTCTTTTTTGACACTTGATAGCTTGATTTGATTTACACATCATTAAAACATTAAATACAAAACTGACAGGGAGCACAAATTACACCACCAAGCATGATGCAGTACCTGCTCCTCCCTGCTGATGGCGCTGTGTCTAGAGATAGTCTCCATTCGCCCCCGGTAAACGGCGCAGTCTCTTTCAATCTCCTCAACTTCCTGCAGAGAAAACGTCACAGCGATCCTGGGCACCGGGATGTCCGACCAAAAGATGTAGTGCTGTTAGACAGATGGAGATAGGCTGGTCTTAAACATCTTCAACAAATGCATGTTATTAGCCCCACTTTGAATTTAATTTTCTTTTTTAAATATTTCCCAAATGATGTTTAACAGTGCAAGGAAATTTTCACAGTATGTCTGATAATTTTTTTTCTTCTGGAGAAAGTCTGATTTGCTTTATTTCGGATAGAATAAAAGGTGTTTTTAATTTTACGTACATCATTTTCAGGACAAAAATTATTAGCCCCTTTAAGCTATATAGTTTTTCAATAGTCTACAGAACAAACTATCTTTATACAATAACTTGCCTAATTACCCAAAACTACCTAGTTAACCTAATTAACCTAGTTAAGCCTTTAAATGTCACTTTAAGCTGTATTCACCTTATTCTCCGTCGACGAGCGGGCGCTGCCATTTGAATCTTTTTGGCTCGAGACTTCCGGTCTCATTCACTTCCATTCATTTTTTGACGTTAAAAACTGCTCATTACGCTGCTTGATGTTGCAATTTGATATTTCCTTGTTATATTATTCTACTTGGTCTGTATAGTCATGCAAACATTTGTTTGTAGAGCAAGTAGTTTGACCGTTTTCTGCCGTTTATTATTCCTAGTCATTTCTCCCATAGGCGACTGAATCGGAAGTTCTAAGACAATCGCGATAACAGGCGCACTTCCGCATTTTAGAATAAGGTCAATAGAAGTGTCTTGAAAAATATCCATTAAAATATTATTTACAGACATCATGACAAAGACAAAATAAACCAGTTATTAGAGATGAATTATTAAAACTTATAAAAAACAAGAGCAGCTGACCAATCAGAACAGTTGACATAAAAGGGGGAGGAGATTATAGACCTTGAATTGATTCAAATGAAAAGCATCAAAATAACTGCAAAACGATTATAATATTAAATCCACTTTTGGCCAGCGGAGAAATTAAAATGGTCGTGCCAAACTGAGTCTGGTTCTCTCAAGGTTTTTTTTTCTTCACTCTCCTATTGGTGAAGTTTTTTTCCCCTCTCCGCTGTTGCCACTGGCTTGCATGGTTCAGGATCTGAAAAGCCACTCATCGATGAATTTGCTCTTCAGTGTTTGGACTCTCAATAATGACTTCAAACCACACTGAACTGAGCTAAACTGAACTGAACTTAAACACTAAAAACTGAACTACCCTGATCCAGTTACTATGACCATTTATGTAAAGCTGCTTGGACACAATCTACATTGTAAAAGCGCTATACAAATAAAGCTGAATTGAATATTCTGAGAAATGTGCTCTGGCCTTGGAGGATTCAATACATAATATTAGGATTTTAAAAGACCATATGACCTGCTCTTCAATCAGATATGTTTGATATGTTGTGATAGTTTGGAGTTTGAGGGTCACCTGTGGACAGCAGATTTTCAGCAGGTTAATAGTTTTCCCGCAGACGTAAACATCATTGGCGATGTGTTTGAGAAACACCGGCACGCAATCCTCTGCATCCCGTGAAATAAGTGTGTAGCCCTGCGTCCAGAAGTTCTTATCTGCAAGAGTTTGGCATAAATTACTTTAAGTCTCAGAGCTCGCAAAACTGCTAGACTGAGGTCCATTATGTTTATTTTAAAACATTTTCTAAATTATGTCGGGCTACCAAATTTAAACCCACTCTGCCTGTCTGGCTATCTTACTGAGAGGAAAAAATACAGCCTACTTTGGTACCAAGTTGATAAATAAAAACAAGAAAGACAGGTCTAACAAGTTTTCACATTATTTTTTTTCAAGGACAATTAAAATTCTAAAAATAAAATAAAATAATTATAAAAAAAAAAAAAAAAAAATATATATATATATATATATATATATATATATTAAAAAAAATATATATATATACACACATATATATATATATATATACACATATATATGTATATATATATATATATATATATATATATATATATATATATATATATATATATATATATATATATATATACATATATACATACATATATACATACATACATATATATATATACATACATACATACATATACATATATATATATATATATATATATATATATGAATGCCGTATATTTTATTACTTTTGTAAATAATGTCTTTCCTATTCAGGCCAATTATTTCAGGGTACCAAAAACCGTATACCTGCCCGAAAGGTTTCTAGGCATGTTGAAATATTGTGAGCCTTAAGACCTATTACCAATGACGTAACCGCAGAAGTGAAAGGATTTTTCCAGCCCTCTAAACATGATTCAACATTAAATGAAAGAACGGACACGCTCACCTCTGTAGGTAAGATAATCTTCATTGACCTCAATCATAAACTCTTTATACACGTCACGGAAGACGCCGCTGTACACCCAGTCTGAAACAAAACTACACACACATACACAGAGATTCAGTTTATTAGATGAGAAGTGTTTAGACTTTAATGCCATATTAGCTTCAATGGCTATTTTATGGTAAAACAGTTGGCTTTGGTTATGGTTTAAAAATAACATTTCTCTGGTCAAAAACAAATAACACATACAATAGAAATCTACAACAGCTTAAGATCTACTTTTGATAAAAATCCTGACCATTTTAAAAAGATTCAGATGCTCTGCTGTTTAAAATATAACTATACAATACTAATATATCATGTTTTTTTCATACATCATATAAACAACTACTATTTATTTATTAGAACCACAACAAAGTCAAATAGATTTGAAAAATGACTAATATTTCTAACGGTAAATAAAATGAGCAAGACAGAAAATTATTTATTTTGTATATAATAAATAATATTTATTTTGTATTTATTTTGTTTTCATTATATTTAATGANATATAAATGGCTAATAATAATAATAATATGATAATAATAATAATAAATATATATATATATATATATATATATATATATACATACATATATATATATATATATATATATATATATATATATATATATATATATATATATATATATATATATATATATATATATATATATATATATATATATATATATATATATATATATATATATATATATATATATATATATATATATATTAAAATGAG